TTTTTCCCAGCCTAGCTGGGTTTTCCTCCTTTGGGGACAAATAAATTCTTCTAAATTGTTCCCCAAAAATTCCAAGTATTATTATTTAATTTCCTAATCCCAACTTTATCATATAATTTAAAACAATTACGGGAATTATCCGCATTGGATAGTTTTCGACAAAACAAGATCCAATCCATCAGGGCTTTTGCCTTTGGACTTCTGCACAGTAATTTGTAAATTCTTTGTGACATCTACAATATCAATTTTGGACCAATTGAATATGCTATTTACTTTCTTCTCGGTAACTTTAACCCTCTATTCTTATTTTTCTCTCCAAAATTTGAATTTAAAATTAAAATAAAGATACAGAACTGATCTGTTTAGTTTTAAGTATTGAAGATACAAAAAAATTGAAAGGGAACTTCTTCATAGAGGATTAAATTCTCTACAAAAAATGTCTTCATCAATACCGTCGTATCTTTAACTCTTGAGCCAAAATTTTGAAAATAATGGCTAAAATTTTTATGGTCTTGTATAATTACAAACTTTATGGTGTATTGTGTGTTACTTTAACACTGAAATTTTAACATCCAGTCACTCAAACCATACAGTCCAAAAAATTTTTGACAGTTTTGATATCAAGCCTGCCAATTTTTTGCAAAGTAATTATGAAATGAAAAATTGCCAAGTATAATATTAACACAGTTTCAAATTATAAAAACTTTCAAGTGCGAAAATTTGTATAATTTATTTTTTTATTTTATTGTTGCTTTCATTTTTGGTTATTTATATATAAATCAAGAACATTGCTTAGAAGTAGAACTTTGAATACAATAAAATTACATTAAAATTTCAGAACGACTTGGATGAATGCAAGCTACTAAATATTTTAATTTTTTATTTTTTAAGAGGGTAATTTTTTCTCGAATGTTCTCAATATTGACAATAATTTTATTCTGCGACAAATTTTTGTTTACTAATATCAAGTGATCGAAATTTTTATTAGCAACTAAATGTGTTTGTGATGATTTGAATAATTTTCCAACTGCGTAACCCTTTACCACTCCAATTTTGTTAGTAATAGTAAGAAATAATTCAACTTCAAAAACTTGCTTATCAGATAAAAATACGGTATAACTGTTTCTTTTTTTGACTTTTTGTTCGGAATATCTAAGTGAGTGGATAATTTCAGCATTTATTCGTGCTCGTGAAAAATAACTTATCGTCGAACCATCCTCAATCATTCCAATTTCTCGTTGCAACATTAATCTATATTGTCGTGAATTTTTCACTTTAATCACGTTTCCTAATAAATGATGAGTAGCTGAAAGTGAACAAGAGATTTTGAAGCGCTCTTTCCTTCCAAATAATCCGTCTAGATATTTTTGTTGCTGGTGTGATAAGTTTTCTTGACATAAAGATTCTAGATTATCGACGGCTGACTTTAATCGAAAGTTATCACACACTTGTAATGCTACACCATTTGAGCTTTTAACATATTTTTGCAAATTTTGGTTATAATCCTCATACAGAAAAGCACTATGTGTTGAGACTGGACCCCAGTTTAAAACGCTTTTTTTGAGATGAGATAGCAGGTGAACATTAAACGATACAAACTCTTTTCCGTACAATGTTTCAGTTTTCTCAATAAACTCTAATAACAACCGTTCTGCATAAAAAATTTCGGACGGCATAATCGAGCTTTTTGACAAAATCGCAATAGCTTCAACAAGAAGACTCCAATGTTCTAATAATTCCCTTGAAAATATTGATTTTAATGTTGGCAGACTATAAAATAGTAGCCAAATTATCCATTCATGAGCCTTCCAGTGGATCCTATCAGACATTGCTCGTGGAGTTCTCGATACTTCCAACGACGGCTTATAGGAAGTTAAAATTTTATCAACATCTTTAATGTGTTTTCCATAGTAAAAGTGTTTATTATGATTAACTGAATGAAACCATAAATCACAAAATTGACGACACACTCCTAAGCCGACACAATGCATCTAATCAACATCGATATTGTGAATTATATCGAAGTTTGGAAGATCACATAGGATTGATCGCTCTTTCATACCATTTTCGTTTCTCGCAGCATGTACCAGAGTATCATCATGATTCCTCAAGCCATCCCCGTAAAAATTTTTTTTCTTGCCTACTGGATACACTCTTGTATGACCTAAACCTTTTACACACGTTTTACCAGGATGCAAACATAATCCACAGACATAAGGTCCATTATACTGAGTGGAACCTCGCATTTTTGGCCTTTGAACTGAGTCACAAATACAATTCAGCGCTCGACATCTTTGAATGAGTTTCTCGCCTTCAAATTTATATTTAAATCCTTTCGTATACAAAACTTTACACTCTTCGACGAATGGTGTGAGATATTCATTAAAAAAAGCAGGTTTGCCTTTCCCAAACCATAAGCTAACAAGCATTATATGTTTTCGTCGATTACCAGCACTTAACTCGTTCAAAGTACACAACAATGGATAAATAGAATAGTTTGAGCTTTCAAAGATTGGAACGCCATCGAGACTAGAATTGATACTGATCAAGTTCTCTTTATTTCGCTTGTATAATTTGCCGTCAAAAATATCCCTTATAGCATATGAGTGTGGTCGTTCCGCTGGATTTACGATTAATTCGTGATGATTTTCAAATAATTGTTTCAACTGTTCAGCAAGAGAAAGATAAATAAATATGTTTCCTTTTTCCGTGTTTTCAATAATTTTGAAACTTTTCTTACAAAAGCTGCAATGTAATTCTTCATCTTTTTTCGGCTTTGGAGGTTGAGGACCAACATGACGATGACATTCATTACAAAAATGATGTATGGCCATACTAGTGGAATATTTATACAAAATTTTTTTCATATAATACTTTGATAAATGATTTGATGACGAGTTTTTAAGTGCATCCGATAATTGCAGCATTATTTGACTATCTACGTAATTTAAACTCCTTTCTAATTTAGTTGCCATTATTAATAATGCTTTTGCTAAAAATTCTTTAGAAAATTTATTATTATTATCATCATCATCATCATCATCATCATCATCATCATCATCATCATCATCATCATCATCATCATCATCATCATCATCATCATCATCATCATCATCATCATCATCATCATCATCATCATCATCATCATCATCATTATCTACATGAATAGAATTTTTTTTTCTTCTTTTGAAAAAATATTTAGGTTTTTTAAAATTTTCTTGCTCCGAACTGTAATTAGTTGACGTTAACATGATCATGTAAATAACTGTAACCATCTTCAACAACATTATTATTGTCAATAAGAATAGTATCAGCAGCAACTTCTGTAATATCATTGAAAAGATTGTTTTCAGCAGTAGCTTCAGAATAATCATCGAGAAAATCAATAGTATTTGCTTCACTATCAAAATATTCATCTCTGTTAGCAACCTGTTCTTCATGGATTTCTTGAAAATCAATATCCATCATTTCGTTAGAGTCGGTATCGAATTGACTAAATTCATTGGAACATGTGTCCTGCAGAGAAATTTTGCCAATATAACTATTGCACCATATATTGTATAATGTTATAAAAATTACAGTCAATGAATACTCACTGAATGATCAGAACTCTCGAAAATTGTTTGAATTGATGCCCTGAAATTTTAATTCGTTAATATTGATGCACACTTCTCACAAAAATTAAGGGAGCAAGAAAAAAATCCAAATTTTTAGGGGATTTTCAACAGGTTATAACTTGTAGGAAAATGGTTGTACAGCAAATAAAAAAAAGGCAAATTGTAGCCCTAAGTGTCTAGTTTTTGGGTCTGAGTTTGAAATTTTTTTTTAGAATTGTTTTTCAAGTAATCTAAAAAAAGCCACCGAAAGAAAAATTTCGAAATTTTTTTGGTTTTTTTTTTTTAATTTACGGACTTGGAAAAAATTTTTTCGACTTAACCCCTATATGGACCGGATAACTTGTTTATTCAGTTTTTATTTTTTTTTAAAGAAATCGATAGCGATATCTTTTGATATCGATTGTTTAAAAAAAAAATTGATCTTTTTCCATTCAAACACCGACATCTCAGCGAGAAATACTCGTATCAACGTCTTTAAAAAAAAAAAAAAAACTAAATAAACAAGTTATCCGGTCCATATAGGGGCCAAGTCAAAAAAATTTTTCTAAGTCCGTAGATTAAAAAAAAACCAAAAAATTTCGAAAATTTTATTTCGGTGGTTTTCTTTAGATTACTCAAAAAAAAATTCTAAAAAAAAAAATCAGATCGAAAAACTAGACACTTAGGGCTACAGTTTGCTTTTTGTTTTATTTGCTATACGACCATTTTTCTACAAGTTATAGCCTGTTGAAAATCCCCTAAAAATTTGGATTTTTTTCTTGCTCTCTTAATTTTTGTGAGAAGTGTATGTATAACTTATAACATTCCATCAAAGCCAGTAGTTAATGCAACCGATGATAATATTATCCAGAAAAAAAATCTTACTAAACTCATGAAAATTATTAAAGAAAACTCAGTTGTTGTTGAACAGAGAAAATATTTTTTGTGAAGAAAGAAATTTTTTTTTAGAAGAAAGTTTTGTAAAATTTTAAATTAATGTTCTTTTTCTGCATAAAATTTTTTGAATTTGTTTTAATTTATCAAAGATAAAGATTTGAATGCCGACAAATATTTAACAATTCTCGAATAATCGTCTGAAATCTATAATTTTGAAAATGATAAAACAGTGTCTACGTACAAAGTTTATATCAACTCTAAATTGAAAAATCTTACTAAAAAATTTTCAATTTTTCTTAGTGAGAAGTTAAAAAAATATGTACTATTCAATAGAAAATCTATTTTATGAATGTTTTTGTCTTAAATTAAGAAAAATTTTTCAAATATAAAAATTTCCTTGGTTCGAGTATTATTACCTTTCTTAATTAAAATAACAATATTTTTTCTCAAGTTATGTAATTTTATTTCCTTTAGAGAACTAAAATTGTTCTTGACATATTTCTATAAGGGAAAACTGTAAGCATATTTTTCTTTCTATTTCATATTATAAACCAAAAAAAAAGTTTACTTCATGCCAGAAAAATAATTTAACTTAAAATAATAAAGAACTTTTTTTGTCTGAGCATAAATTCTTCCGATATATTTTATTGTCACTCATGAAGTAAACTATTCTTCTGTCAATTTTTTTGAATTTTAAATTAAACCTATATGTATATTTAAATTCATATAAAGCATTAGAAATTTTTAATTTCGAATCAGAAGTTAATATCCACCTTTTTTTTTTATTTTTTTTCCATCGTCTTTTTGTGCATGCTGGAATTCTGTCATTATTTCCATGCAAATTGTATTTTTTATATTTAACGGATCTTTCTAATGAAGACATGGTTTTGGATCACTTGTTCAGGGTTTCATTGAAATTCAGTTCCTAATTTTAACAGTACAAAAAATAAAAAACGTATATCAAACACAAAAATATTGCTTATATACCTTCCATGAACTATCTCATTCTTATGGACTTATTTTATTACGAATGACTCAAAATTGTGCCCCAATGTACCACAAATAAATATTTAGATAAACAATTCAGTTGATAACTCGGTGTGGCATTATTTTTTATCTTATTATTTTTATTACTGCCTTAGTTATTATTTATTACTTTGCGCCTGATATTTATTAAATCATACAGAATTATCATCAAGAACTTATAAATCTCTTGATCAAATCAATTAAATCAAAATAGTTTATTAATAAAATAAGTTTATAAATTATTAAGACATGAAGTTATTCAGTTGTCGATTGTTTTTGTTTATTGACAAATGAAAATTGCATCACATCTGTCATTTTTTGAAGTAATAAGCGAAAATAAATAAAAACTTTATTTATAATGGTACACCAACTTTATGCTCTTGTTAAATGGATCGATGATGGAATTGACAAAAATAAATATACTCCTGATGTTCCTATTGAATGGATACTCGGTTTTGATCTGAAACAGTTCAATGCGAATGCTGTTAACGAAGAAGAATCAGATGTAATTGAGTGGCGAGATACTAAAAACAAACCTAAAAGTGGTTGGAAGTTATTTAACGGAATTGTCATCGATATATCAAGTAATTATTTTCTAACATCAGTTTAATTTAGATTGATAAACGGTTTCAATAATATTATTACTACCATAAAGGTCGACGATCTACGCTTGAAGAAAAGCTCCGAAAACTAGCTGGTAAGATATCGCCGATCAAAATTATTAAAAAAGACGACTCATATAGAAACCGCGAAAGAAGTCGAGATAGAAGTAGAAGAAATTTTGATACTTCTGGAAAAGCTCAAGGTGATACTAGAGACTTAAATGGAAACAAAAGAAGAGATGATAATGAAATTAAAGATAGGCATGTGCGAAAAGAAGTTCCTCCTAGAACAAGAAGTAGAAGTAAAGAAAGAGATTATTTTCTTCTTAATCGCCCATTAGCTAATAAACATGGAGATGAACGAAATGATGGTGTAAGTATAAATCGAGATGAACTAACATTTATATAGATTTTAAGCATGTGTTGATCTCATTTAATATGCTAGATACCATAGGCCCTGTAAATTAAGTAGCTTATCACAGGCTTGAATATGATACTACTGAAAAAAATTAACTTCACTTAATAAAAAAGTTCTTTAACCAAGAAAATGATTATTAAGAACTTTATTGCCTTGACTAAGGCACGAAAGTTCTTGGATTACAAAATCTTGGTTATTAAAGTAAATTTTACTTAATTCAAGAATTTTTCAATGAAACTAAAAATAAACAAACTTTTTAAAATAATTTTCTCGATTAGATTGCTTGAATGAACTTAATTTTATTAATGTAATACAATAATAAATATTTTTGCTAGTTATCAGATTTTCATAGAGCTACGCAGATTTACTTCTGCCTTCTTAAATTTCAGTAATTGGAAATTCAAACTTCTGTTCAGTAGATTGAATCTCTATCAATTTTTCAATTATTTCACATATTATTTATTTAACAATTTAAAGATAATTTATCATTTAAAGCTATCGGATGATGGATCCATTAATAATCTTCTACATAATGATGCTCGAAAGAAAAATCATGACTCTAATCAAATTCTCAATTCTCAATTCTCAAAAAGCAATGAGTCGATTAAAAAACACAAGGTATTTCTTTACTTCTGGTCATTTTAAAACATTTAACTTGAAAGCTTACTATTTCTGATACTGAAAATAAACAAATAAATTGCTGCAATACGAACTTAAAAATTTAAAACCGTTTTTTTTTTTTTTTTTAAGTTATAGGAAGATCCTAAGAAAAAACCCATGATAATTGACCAGAGGCTAATTACACCAAAAGTATTGAAATCAATTAGCGAGGAGCATATTTTAACTAGTAAGAATAGATCGGTATTATTGAAGTTATACATCTTTTAGCGTAGTTAGGTGAGAGTAAAATTGTCAGTTGAACGCGCGTTCCGTTACCAAAGTCTAAAACTATAAAGTTGGTCAATAAATATAACAAAAGTGAGTATTTAATTTGTTGACTAAGTTAGCTCAAGCAGACTAGATGCAAAGTATTCAATAAAACATATTATTATTTTTTTTTATAATAATATTACTCAATTTTACTAACACAGAAGAAGTATAACTTCTAACGCGTGTACATAAGTACACACATCAATTTTTTTTTTTTTTTTTTATGAAGAGTGAGTTAACTCGATAACTAATTTAAAATTATTTTTTTAAGGTATAGCGAATCAAAACAAAGTCATTGATGCAATGAAGAAAAAAATTCAAGAATTTGAAAATATTAATCAAGCTGGAAATCGTTTGAAAGCTTCCAATAAAGTTACATCAGCTATGACCGGTTATTGTCCACTAACAGAAGAAAAGATTTATGCACGCCCGACATCACTAAATGAAGTACTGATATCATGGAATAAATTACTCAAAGTTTCGAACTTTACGTAAAAAAAAGTTTAATTTTTTCAAAATATAAGCCCTTAATGAATTTATGGAACATTATATTTAGCACGAGTTATTCTGAACCAATAAAGCCATAAAAAATTTGACAACCCATCAGATTCACAAAAACTTAAACTCAACTTATCTGAAAAAAATTAGAAAAACGGTTCACCCTAAAGTCCATCCGTGCAACTTCCCGCTAATTCCATTCCTGGGCGCTTAAAATTGTACTTATGACATTTTTGAGATATTTTAGCTCAAAATATAATTTATGTGATATTTTGAGCTCGCTGAGTTCAAAGAAATAATATTTTTATGCATTTGAGCTCTCCCAGCTCAAAAGTCTGATAGAAGTTTTATAGAACACTATTTTTCGAATTTTCAAACCGCAATAACTTTTGAATGGATCAACCAATTTTCACCCGGTTGGCGCCATTCGACGCAGTTTTATCATCCTCATAAGTTATTTTCAGGTTTTGATTGATCGAACCGAAAATTTCGGAGTAATCCCGAAAAAACACTTTTTTCAGTTTTCTTTCGTTCACGATATCTCTCGAACGAATCAACCGATTTTGATCAGCTTGGTGGCAATCGAGTGGTTTTTTGATATTAAAAGCTGATTAGTTTTTGGAACCGATCGGTAGAGCTGTTTGAAAGTTATTCCAAAGAAACTACTTTCAAAAAAAATTTTTTTCCGAGTTTTTTTGAGATTTCTCAAAATCTATCAGTCCGAATCGATTTAAATTAACAGGGAATCTAAGTTTGGCGAAGCCCTTTCGAATGGCACCAACCGCAATGTAATCGGATTATCCCTAACATATATTTTTTTTTCATAATAGATTTTAAGGAAGTACGAGCATAACTAATGAGTCAAAATAGTGTTAAAATTTTTTTTAAATTTTAGTCTTCCCAATATTCGTCAAAATTCTTTATTTTAATTTAAAATAATTTAAACAATTTAATAATTGATGATTTTTACTTATTTAATAAAGTAAAGTCATAAAATGACTTTGGTATTTATTACTTGCCGGAATAAATAAACAGATTTGGCAATAGCGCGCTTGATTATACCCATAACAGAGACGTGGATGAGTGTGTGAGTTAAACATTTCTCTCTCTGTAACTATATTTCTATCCTTTTCTTTTTTCTCAGCTGTTGACGTGATGTTGTCAAATCTTTATTCGAATAAATGGCTGACGATAAACGAGTTACAAACAAAAAATTTGACTTTAATATTTCATAAATTATATCGGTAATGTATTATTATTAAATTGTTTTTATATTTTGCAATAATCCAAGTTCCTTGTGTACAGTTTTTTATCCGTTAAAGTTGGGAGGTTAATATTGAAAAAAATAATTAAAGTCTCGACAAAAGTTTGTCCACCATAAGAGGCCGTGTATAAGGAGATAAAATACGTGATTTTTAAAATTTAATATCTAAGTAACTAAACGGTGAATCTTTTTTAAATTTTGGGATTAAATAAATGACGTATTTATTTATACGTATATTTAATTTCAAAGGTCAAAGTTGGAAATTATTTTTGACATTAGATTCGCTCGTACTTCCTTAAGGGTGAACTCGGAAGTTGCAAAGGGAAGACAAATTTTCCGTGGCTTTCTTGGCTTTAAGTACTGACTTGTAATAACTCACTAAGTTCCTATGTTTTTATTAAATCAAAATTTTTCTTACGATTGTTCGGAACTTTAGGTATAGATCGAATATGCACTGAGTAAATGATAACTTGATTTAAAATAATAAGCCATGAAGGTTATTTTAAGGAGACCCGGTGGTCTAGCGGCCTAAAATTTAAGCTATTTTAAAAATTTTATTTCTATATGAAGGGAATGACTGATGCTTTCAAATTTTTTTACACTTATTCTATTACTTATCAACTATACAAAAATGAAAATCAAAACGAAAAAAATTTTTTTTTCAAATTAGAAAAATGACGCTGAAGTCCCCCTCTAAAAAAAATGGACCTCACTGGTGGAAGTAGATTGATCTCTCCCTCTGATCTGAAATTAAAAAATATGACTGATTTTTAATTAGTATAAGTATAGTTATCGTCAATACTAGAATGAAAAAAAAAAAAAATATTCGACAAAATGGCGCGTAGTTAAAAGTACGAATCTGAAACTCGTTTTTAAAAAACAATTTTTTTTTTTGAAATCTCACAGTGGCTATCCCCCTTAAAATTTTATCAATAATAAAAATTTATATATTAATTTTTTTTTATAATTGTAAGTTTTGATGTACATAAAATTAGCGGCTGTGTAACAAAAAAGTCTTATACTAATTAAAAATCAGTCATATTTTTTAATTTCAGATCAGAGGGAGAGATCAATCTACTTCCACCAGTGAGGTCCATTTTTTTTGAGAAGGGAACTTCAGCGCCATTTTTCTAATTAAAAAAAAAAAATTTTTTTTTTGTTTTGATTTGCATTTTTGTGTAATTGATAAGTAATAGAATAAGTGTAAAAAAATTTGAAAGCATCAGTCATTCCCTTCATATAGAAATAAAATTTTTTAAAATAGCTTAAATTTTAGGCCGCTAGACCACCGAGTCCCCTTAAAAGGTTTTATAAGTTTAAAATCAAAAGGTCATTGTAAATAATTCAAACATCTTAGAAAATCAAAATTCTCTCAATAAGAACTTTTTATAAGTTAAAAAATTTTATTTTATTCAAAAGTGTTTTACTAAACTCATAATTACTTAATGCACACTGATAGAAATTTTAACTTGACTCAAGAGCAAAAATCATATGAACCAAGAACACCAATTGGAAGAAGATGAATTTCTTGAGCTAAGAGGAAAAATTCTTGAGTCAAGATATATTTTCTTAATTCAAGAAAATATATCTTGACTCAAGAATTTTTCCTCTTAGCTCAAGAAATTCATCTTCTTCCAATTGGTGTTCTTGGTTCATATGATTTTTGCTCTTGAGTCAAGTTAAAATTTCTATCAGTGCATAAATTTATTCTAACGGAAGATTTTTGAAAACTTTAAAGGAAACCGAAAAAATAAACTCTACTTTGTATTCGAATAAGTAGTATAATGAAATGAGCTTTGAAATCAGATTTTCTCTTTTGAATCGAGTCAATTTGTTTTTTATCAGTACACTAAATTATTCAAATGTCAAAACGAAGTTTCATTCGATTTACGGAATAAATTTACCTATACAACGAAGCGTAGAAGAAAAAGAGACAAAAAAATTTTTGATAGTTGTTTATTAATTATCATTATAATCACATGCTCTGAGCTTATATTTTTAACCAAGAAAAACAATTAATATGGCATTTCTTTTTTAATTATCTAATTTTTTTTTTGATTTAAACGGTATTTTTCTATAAAAAACAAAAACTGTAATTTCTCATAACTCCATGTTAAACGTCAAAATAACAAAGCTTAGAATCTGTTCACTAGTTTTCTAGGGAACTGTATAGCTATAACTCATCAAAAATTTGATATAATTATTATGTTACGATATGCTACTAATGTACCCAATTTTTTTCAATTCTTGATAGTAATTCAATCTCTTACATCTGTCAATTGTAGGTAGAGATAGGTCGAAAAGGTAGTGGAATTGTAATTGAAGCAGATCAATGGGATGCCGCAATGGAGAAAAATACATTTACGGCTATGGGTATATCATTGTTATCAGCAGTGTTTCATATGGACACTTTACTCCATAGTAACGTTAAAGGAGGAAAAAGTAAAATTCATCAGGATGCTGAAATGCCCAAACATGATGCTCTAGATTCAACAGTATTAACCGCTATTCATTGTAACTGTTATAAGATAAATATCAACACATAGAAAAAAAAAACTTGACCCAAGTAAATCGTTTCCTTCAAAATGCCACTCTTGTTTGAAAACATCAAAACTTTTTAGATTAAAAAAATTTAATCTTGAAATAATTAATTATTAATCTCAAATGTATGTCTTCAATTCAGTTTTCTTGATTTAAGCGTAGTTTACTTGGATCAAGTGAACTTTTTTATCTGTGTATGAATATCGATATTAAATAAGATAGGAATAATAAAATAATTAATGAATTCCAGTTACAGTAAAAAATGTCCATCCCACCAAGTATGAGAAAGCAAAACTTAATAGTGCATTCAACAGTAAATTATCAAGTCTCAGAAGTAAGCAAAGAAAAGCCGAGAATGAACAAGATGACAATAGTTAGAAATTAAAATCACGAAAGTTCTTGAATATTTACATTATTTTCTATTATTTACTTAAAGTATTATATTCAAACATGTTACAATACCGAAATTTTAAGATTAATGATTAATTTTGTTTCAATTTTGTTAAGAACGAGTTACGTGAAATAAAATGTATTGAAATATCTAATATATCACGATTCATAATGTTTATTAGATATTTATTAAATAATAATACAAATTTTTGTTCCTACATAGAAAAAAAATGTCCTTGAATCAAGTATATAATTTTGAAGAACTTAATTTTCTTGATTTGAGTAAAAAAATTCTTGAATTAAATAAATTTTTCTTTATTTAAGGAAATTTTACTTGATTCAACAATTTTTCGTCTTGATTTAAGACAATTTCCTTCTTCAAAATTATTTTCTTGGTTCAAGAATTTTTCTTTCAAATGAAGTTAATTCTTTTCAGTGTAGAACATCCTTTATCTATTTAATTTTTTTAATTTCTGCATCAAATAAATGTGCGTATATATCATGTGTGTGCGAATACATTGTTAGCATAGAAAATATATTATAAATGTACATAGATATACAATGGATTAGAAAATTTTCCCATTTATTAATATTAATTCAACGAGTCTGAGTTAGATAGGCATTTGCAATAAGGGACCTACATCGATATAAAAAAATTCGTGAAAAAAAATATTTGACTCAATTGATTGATTTTTTCGCAAATTACGGTATTTTTCGAAGACTTGATTGACGGAACAAATTGTTGAATTATTTTGATATTCTTTTCTTTTCAATCGTTGCTCTTTGATCTCTCGTCACTCTTTGATGCTACGCGTCATGAGTCGTGCAATTGAGAACTTATTCATTCAAATAAACATTGGTTCTGGTCAGTTTCTGGTGCATTTAAAAATTTCAGACATTTCAATTTTAGTACATATTTAAAATACACTAGTCACAAAAATTAAGGGATGTAAAAAAAATTCTAAATTTTTGGATGATTTTCAACAAGCTGTAACTCCGAAGAAAACGATCGTACAGCAAAAAAACAAAAAAGCAAATTGTAGCTCCAAGTGTCTAGTTTTCAGATACGGCCATAAAAATTTCTTATCATGTTTGGGTCTGGAGAAATCCTAAGGAAACTATCAAAATTTTTTTTCATCAAAAAAGGTCTACTGGTTTAAAAAAATTTTTTTTTGATTGTTTCACTCAAAATTTATTCTAGAAAATTTACTGCCCTTTAATTTGATGGAATCAGAAAACCTGTACGATGATTCGCCGCGGAGTTATCATCAATCAAAGCAAAAAATTTATTTTCAACTTTGATAATCAATAACTCTGGGAATAATAATCGTATAGGAAATCGAAGGGGGGTTTTGAAAACTACATGATATTGTTTATAAGACACCGTGGATGGCTTATGACGAAAAAAATTTTTTTGAATTGAAAACTTTGACTAAAAAAAAGACAAAAATTAGCATAATTAAGGACATTTGGATAACTTGGTATAACTTTGGATAAAATGAATGAACAAAAAAAATTGTCAGTAATTTTTCAACCTTAAAAAGTTACCTAGAATTCTTGAAAAATTCAAAGCACTGCGATTTTTTTCTATAGTGCCCCGAAAATTCAAATTCTTTGTTTTCGCAAAAATCACCATTATGAGCAATTCTTCGATTTTTTTATTCATTTTATCAATGAAAAAAGTGTTTTTTCTCTAAAATATTAATTTTTTCGATCAAAAAGACTGATTTTTTAAGAAATTTGAAAAAAAAAATTCAATTTTTTTTCTTCAACGTCTTCAGAATGCTCCATTATTGTTAAAAAAAATTATCTTGATTTTTTTTTGTAACAGACACACGCACATACACACGTGTATATAAGAAGCTAAATCTAACCGAGCTACCTCCACGTGATACGCTTTGGGTATAACGTTAATCCTGGCGGTAAGACAGCAGTCGAAAAAAATCGAGAAAATTTTGAAAAAAAATTATACATTTTAAATATAATTTTCATATATTTTTGTTATACTTTTCATACAAAAAAATTATAATTCGGATATATTTTGAATATATTTGCTGCTTATATTTTTCATATACAGTGAGTATATTCCTTATATATTTCGATTATATTTTATGACATAATTATCATATAAGATGAATATATTAATAATATATTTTATTTTTATTTAAAATATATTTCTCATATACCAAAAACGGCCAAAAGTTCACTAAACCGAATATAATTTGCTTATATTTGAAATATATTTGAAATATACGCAAGTATATTTTGAATATAGTTTAAATATATTTCACATATATTTTGTGTATAAAATGAAATATATTTTTTTTTATATTCTAATTATAAATTTTTTTCGTGGGGGTGCGTCAACTAAATTTCTTAGACATCTCTGGTACTTGGCCGAACCACAAATATTTCTCTCATATCGGAGGAAATTTCAATTCCTGATGAAGTTCAAATCCCAGAAAACATGGAGTGGTTAGGTAAACTTTTTGTGAACCTCAGCAAAGAGAACAAAACCCACTATTCAAACTTGAACAAAAAAATCCAGGATCTTTCCTCCAAACAAGACTTAGCTATTAAACTTATGCGAGAAGATATCTCGAACCTTCAAAAAGACGTGAGTCAACTCCACATGGAAAACAAAATGCTATGCACTAGACTTGAGACTGTTGAAAAAGGCCAGCCCTCAGCTGCTGGACCGTCAAACGTATCGCAGGAAATCATAAAATCTATTCACGCCATGTCTACTAGGTTAGATGGTTACGAAAAAAAATTGATTGAAAATAACGTAATAATAGAGGGTCTTGAAGTATCCAATGCAGACCTACTAGGTTCAGTCAATTCTTTATTGTGTGACACTCTATGCACCAATGTCAATGCGCTCGAGGTTAGATTACTAAAAAAAAGCCCATTACTTATAAAGGTCAAACTAGACTCAGCAGACAACAAGAAAAAAATTATGCAAGCAAAAAATAAACTCAGAAATGACCAACGAACCTCTAAAATATTTATCAAGCCTGAGCTAACCAGAACAGAGCAGCTAATTGATTGGAAAAATCGCGAATTTGCCAGAAAAGCCAAAGACGAGGGGAAAACAGCCATAATTAGACACCAAAAAGTCCTCATGGATAATAAACACTACTGCTGGTCTGTTGATAACAACGAAATGGCTGAAAAAACTACCACAACCAAGTCTGTTTTCTCTAGTTCCCACTTCACCCAGGAATATGCACACAATGTCTCCACGTCAAGAGAAAATGGATCTGGACGCCCCACAACGCTTCCCCTCCATCCAAATAGTAAAAAAAAAACTCCAATCCAGCGCAAACTCATCCACAATAAGTATCTGTTTCTTCAATATTAACGGCTTTAAAAAATTCACAAATTGCAAGCACGATTTAGCTTATGATATAATATGTATTAACGAAACGCACTTAATTTCAGCTCCAACGTACTTTTTTTCTCAATCAGACAACCTCACTATGTTCTGGGTCAACGCAATCAAAGACAAATCTGCTGGTCGCGGCAGTGGAGGTCTTATCACTCTCACAGATGCAAGTGGCTACCTGACCACAGAAATCGCTACTTCAAAATGGTGGATATTCATAATGGTACAACTGGATAATTCACAGCAAATCATAGTCGGATCCATCTACTCAAGCCCGACTTCTGACATCACGAGTATGCTAAACAACCTCAACCTATTACTAGAAGAATTCCAAGCGCGCTATGTTTCTGTTCCGATTGTCATTGATGGTGATCTGAACGCCAGGGTAGGTCCAACTAAAGATATACCCGGGGAACTAACAGCAGAACTATACGTTCGAACTGACAGACAAACCTCTGACAATTTTGTGAGCAGCAGAGGACAGATTCTCCGAAAATTTATGTCAGAAAACAACTACACACTAATAAATGGCCGCTCAGCTAGTGACTGTCCAGAAAAAGTTACTTTCTGCAACCAAAACGGAACCAGTGTAATCGACCTAGTTTGGGTCAACCAGTATATGCTCCCCCTAGTAGTCGACCTACATGTTGCCCCAACGATCACAGGCTCAGATCATTACCCAGTCATCATCGATATTAAATCCAGCATTAAACTATCAAAGAATAGTAAATCCAGTACAAATAGGATTAGATACAAATGGAAATTGGACCTCAAGAACACGTTCGTCATGTACCTGACTGCTTTCGGTGACCTTGAGATCAGCAATGAGATAGACGTCGATCTAAAAATGCAAGCCTTCAGTGATGCCATTACAGAGGCAGCTGGCTTCGCGAAAATGATCATCCAACACAAAGAAAGCACCAAGTACAAGCCGTCGAAACCGTGGTTTGATAAGGAATGCATGACAGCAAAAAAAGACCTTACCAAATACCTGAAAGAAGGCCTAGCCATCGGCTTCCCAGATAGAGTGAGGTTTAACTACCTTGAGCAGAAAAAATCCTACCTGGCTCTCCTGGAATCAAAAAAAAGTCAGCACACGAATAAAATCCAAGAATTTTTTGCACAGGTAAAAAATCCTAACCAGTTCTGGAAAGCTGTCCGTTGCTTTAAAAGTCACAAATCCGTTTACTTGGGCCCCTCTGCTGACGTTTGGAATGATTTCTACCAACAGTTGCTTCCTCCTCGTCGATCTTTTCAACTGACGGCTCCTACAGTCTTTGTAGAGGAGCTGGATCGAGACATCTCGCTTCAAGAGCTAGAAAACTGCCTAAAAAACCTGAAACCTAATAAATCACCTGGTCCGGATGACATCAGTAACGAATTTTACAAGCATCTTACATCTAACTGGAAAACACACCTTCTGAACGTCTACAATTCAATCTTAAATTGTGCTAAGGTCCCAAACCAGTGGGCTTCAGCCTCACTCTGCTTGATCTACAAAGCGGGAAATAAACTGGATCCAACCAACTACAGGGGCATAGCCCTAATTAACAGTGTCGTGAAAATTTTTACCGAGATTCTACGTAACAACCTCTCACAATGGGCAGAAAACATGGGTATCATCCCGGAGTCGCAAATGGGGTTCAGAGCAGGCAGGAGCTGTACCGATGCGGCGTTTATCCTTCAATCAGTCATACACTTCAGATTACGTCAAGCTGCAACAAAAGCATATGTCTTATTTGTGGACTTTGAAAGGGCATTCGACTCGGTCCCCTACGAACTTCTATGGAAAAAACTCTACGCCTCAGGTGCTAGCTCCAAGTTTATAAACGTCCTCATAAGCTTATACAAACAAGCATTCATACAAATAAACCACGACTCAATAGTATCAGATAAATTCCCAGTCACTGAGGGTGTCCTACAAGGAGAAACTCTCAGTCCACTGCTCTTCATCTTGTTCCTGGCCGACTTTGAAACATTCTTCCGGGACAAAGGCTGTACGGGACTGAATCTAAATAATTCGATTGACCTTCTCACTCTTCTGTACGTAGACGAGGCAGTTCTTCTTGCAAGCAACCCACAAGACATGCACAAATTCCTAATACTCCTGGAAAAATACTGTGACTTAAACGAAATGGCGGTCAATGTAAAAAAGACAAAAATCATGGTAGCCAGAGCCGGAGGAAAATTGAGAATCTCGGACCTAAACAGATTTGACTATAAAAAGGAAGTAATTGAAATTGTCAGCTGCTATAAATACCTCGGATTGGTTTTATCCAGCTCAGGACTCGGACTTAAGACAGCAGAAGAGAAAATAAAAAAAGCCAGAATTGCAGCTAACTCAGCTTTTGGCCTCCTATCCTCGGCCAAGAACTACGCTTGGGAAGCAGTTGTAAAGCTTTTTGATGCCCTCTCCTTCTCAACCTTTTTGAGAAAAGTTAGTTACAAGGCATGGAAACTGATTTTTGGCTTTTTTATCAGGATTATAGAGTTAAAGAACGATCGCCTACCTAAATTGTGTTTCTTAAGACAATTTGAGCTCTGTAAACACCCTCTAGGGTTAATAGGCAGTAAGAAATATAATTGGGCATACCTGTTTAAAAAATTTGTGGTTGACATGGAGCTACAACATCTTTGGGGTAACTGGGATCCTGAACTGTGGAAAGATGCCTACAAGACCTGCTTTGCTAAACTAGACGAACCTCTAAGACATCAGGACCTTTCTGAAGTATCTCGGCTTTCAACAACTCCCCCTTTGATGCTAGATCCTCACTGCATGGATTTCCCCCCCCCCCTACCTTAAGCACAAATCATCAATGCTACACAAAAGAATCTTAGCCCAACTCAGACTTGCCAACACCCACGTCTTCAATCTCTGCTCAGGCTCTAATGTCACCAAATTTCACCCGAAACAACCTTGCCCGACCTGCCATACAGGTGAACGAGATTCAGTCGTTCACTTCCTCTACTATTGCCCAGCCTATACTGCCCAGAGAACTACATATCTATATCCAATCAGGGACTGGCTGCTAATAAATGGACACCCGGATTGTGACATACTGCTCATAACGGACCACAAAATGCTTAAACTCATAGTAAATAATGTCATTACCACTCTAAAAATCCGCTCCCAAACTTAACTTAACTTATTTAATTATATCATTGCTGAATCTTGGTTTGCGCTGGTCATATACTCATATAGTTATCTTATTTTTCATACTTGCATTCGTACTATGTCACTATTTGATCGCATTACATTATATTATTTTATCTGTATAACATAAAATTGTACTTTGTATTTTATCACTAAAATCTGTAAGCATTTAACAACAATAATAATAATAATAATAAATTAGGTGACTATTTACCATGATTTACCACTAATTCGCTATTATATTTCTAATATTAAATAATATTCATCCGATTGTTACAAATATTTTATTTTATTAAGTTACGTTACCGAAGTACCACAAGTTTATATTAAAAGTGCTTATTTTGTGTAATAAAGTTAAGTTTATTGGTATTACCTCTATACACTATTACTAAATTACCACTATTCACCGATCTATTTACTACGACTATCTATATTCAACTAAAGGGTCAATCAAGGACGCAGAATAATCACCGCAGTTAATATTGTAAGTAAGTAAAATAAATTAACTGGCACGCGTGAGAACTTCTGTCTAAGATTAATAAAATTCATAAAGACAAAGACATTCATTGGTCCGGGAGCGGAACATCCCAGAGCAGCGAATCCCATTTTCTGAAATTTAAGTGATTATTTCCCTATCCGCAAGGACTTAGTGACTTAAATAATTAAATTTTTTAAAATATTGAAAAATTTAGTGTTTCAATATATATTAGGATGTGCCAAAATGTAACTTCCGTGAAGAACCTTTTAAAATTGGAATTTTCAGTTCCGCTTTTAAAATCAGCTGTGTTTAGGCCTTTCCTAAGATATTTTGGGGTGAGACGATAAATTTGATTTTCATAGAATTTTTTAGCAGGAGGTTTAATCGGGCACTTCCGGACAAAATTGAAATTTTTAGCGGACGTTCCCAAACTAAGCTCCGGTTAAAAAATTCTATGAAAATCAAATTGATCGTCACACACCAAAATATCTTAGGAAAAACCTAAACAGAGCTGCTTTTAAAAGCGGAACTCAAAATTCCAATTTTAAAAGGTCTTCCAAATTAATTACTCAAACTAATTTTCCGTGCCGTTTATTAAAAATTATCACACCATACGCAGCGCCTCTATCATGCAAAGTAAATTGCAACAAAAAATGGACCCGCAAATTTCTGAAAATTATATAGAAAAGGGGTCAGGAAAAGAAAGTGGGGAGATCCATTTTCTTATTGGATATTTCGACAGCAAACATTTGAATAATTCAAAAATACGCGGCCTGATTTATAATAAAACCTGATAAACATGACCAGGTGAGAATAAATAATTCTGTCACTAGATAATTACAAATGTTCAAAACATATATAAACAATAATTAATCAACACCTGACAAGTCATAATTTTAATAAAAAAATCCTGAAGAATGAGATCAAATAATCCATTGCAGTTGACTCTCGCTATTTTGAAGCCTCACGTCATAAAAAATCCGTTTGCGCTTCAGGTGAGTTTAACCTAAAAATTAATTTGATGAAATTTACAGAAACTTGATTTTTTTATTTTTCTTGAATTATAAACTAGGTACAGAAAATTATTGATAAAAAATTACATTAGTAACTTTTTTTTAAAGATTGAATTTTTTAAATAAATTTTTTCGCTATAATTTATTAGTCAATAAATTTCTAAAAATCATCAGATGTCTCTCAATTTCTATTTCTAAGACATTAAAAATTTTTTCTATAATTTTAAAACAATAAAAAAAATTTAATAAAAAAATTCCACATGTGAAAATTATAAAAAATTATTCTTATTGTAATTAATCTTTTATAAAATAAAAAAATTGACAGTTGTCAGCTAACTTTAATATAATTATTTAACTCAGTTAAATCTAAAATTCTTATAATAATAAAGTAAGCCGACGTTGCTAATTTTTTTTGTTTATTAAATTGGACGAAAAAAAATATTTTTTAAAAATTGCACTTAAAGTTTTTTAAGTTTTTTAGAAATGAAATTTTTTTTTTCTTATTTTTTTGTGATAATTTTTTGAATAAAAAAAATTAAAATTTTTTAGATGTCGGCTAACTTAATTTTCATAAAATTCTTGACAGAAAATACGACAGCTGATACTCGACAATGATTTCAAAGTAGTCAGGTCTCGTCGGACTAAAATCACCTTCAGCGAGGCGAGCTATTTTTACCAGGACCACAAGGATAAATTTTTCTACAACCGCCTGGTAACTTTTATGAGCAGTGGACCTTCAGATATTCACATTCTAGCACGAGATAATGCTATTGTTAGGTGGAGAGAACTTATGGGCCCTACGAAGGTCTACCAGGCTCAATATTTAGCTCCAGAGTCAATTCGCGGCAAGTTTGGACTCTCTGACACGAGAAACGCCACCCACGGATCAGGTGATTTATTTTTCAATTTATATTTGTGAATAAAATAAATTAAAAAATTTTATTTAAACTTTCAGATTCTCCAGACTCAGCAAAAAGAGAAATAAAAGTTTTTTTTATATATATATATATATATATATATATATATATATATATAGGAGCTGTTCTATAGATAGATTGACTCATCACAATATCTCTGGAACTATAAGACCTAGAGACTTGAAATTTGGTAGGAATATTACTTTTTGTAACTCCTGCTTTCAAAGTTCAACATTCGAGCCTTGCTCAGCAAACGCAAAGTCGCATATTCTCGTGATGGTTGCATACACTATAGTAGCATGCGGGAAAGTAGGCGGAGTCAAATTTTCCAACTGCTTGAACGAGCGGGAATGAAAATTAACTACAATAAATGTATAAGATTCATAGAATGTATATGTCTGTCACTACCACTACGAATCAAACTATTTAGCATAGACTGAGGTTAATCCTAGCGCCTGCGCATACTAAATAACCACACATGAATAGCAGCTTGTCGATCATATTGTCAACTCTGTGCAACTACTAACCATAACTGCGTGTATTATTTATATTATTTATAATTTTTTGATAACTGATATAGTTCAGCTAATTACAATATTTTTTTGTAAATAATAATTTCTCTCTGTTGAACTTTGAAAGCAGTCGTTACAAAAAATATTGTTCGATACATATGTCCCAACTGAGGCATTCACAGGGCTTAATTGAGACACTCGCCAAAAGAAACGACACGTTTACAGTGTTGTATAGCCCAAAATTGGCTATAGTAAATTTATTGAGTTCTTTTAATTCGCCCGTTGAAACGCGGTAGGGCGTTCAACTCGCAGTAAATAGATTAAGGCGGGAGAGTAGATTTAAATTCGAATAAGTTTAAATAAATTTAAAATACTCGGATTATTTTAGTTTAATTTAGATTTGCCTTGCGCGCAAATCTATTATTTATTATTCAATAAATTACAAAATAAAAGTACCGACAATAATTACGAAAAAGAAAATATTCGCGTGGCGTACTTAAGTCTTGCTTATTGATAAGTGTCTTTTTGTCTCTTGGTTTTTGACTCCCTTGGTTCAGATGTTCGTATCTTTGGAGTGGGAGAGTCCCAGCGGGTAGTGAGGGTAGTTGCGCGCGCCTTTGCGACTCCTGTCCTCAGCCAGCATCCCTTCTCGAGTTGGCAAAAAATGGGACTATGATTATGCCGTGATGACGTCACGGCGAGTCGACATTCCCAGGCTATGTGCAACCCGCATGGATGCCTCGTTTTTATGACCTAGTCTTGAGTATTCGAGCAATCCCTTTTTTAAGCGAACGTTTTGGAAAAGAAGTTACTTAAAGGATTATGGCAATAAAAATATTAATAAAAAAAAGGATCTCCGGGTTTTTCCCAGCATTATAAAGAGTATTCCAAAACGTTCGGCATCTTATCCTAAGTGACCATTACAATTAACGTAAGTTTATTTTAACAAAGAGATTTATCTTAGCATGTCTAAACTAACTGAATAGTACTAAAAGTTTTTATAAGTTTTTCCTTGAGAATTTCTGGTAATTATTAATTCGTCTATACCCTAAAATTTATGATAGAAAATTTCCCATACTTAACAATAGAATTTAAAATAGAAAGGTTTACAATATTTTAAAGATTCTTATTTTTCTTACTGATACTTTTACAAATAAAATACATATATTTTAAATCTTACTGGGTTTTTCCCGCTATCATTTATTGCAATCATCTTTTTATATTTAATTCTATATTAATATACAGAGAGCGTTGTGATCAATCCTTTCGGATTCACAACAACAGTGAGACTGAGTACGCTTACCCCCACTCGCCTGACGGCTCGTGGGGGTAATCTGCGTACTCAGCCCCATTGTAAACGCACCGTTTCTTAGACTCGTGTCTCAACTTTTAAGCCCTGGGAATGCCTCACTTCGCACATATGTATCGAAAATATCTATTTGCCATGTAGAGATCAGCCAAGAACGGATTTTAAGAAAGTCATCCCCCAAAGGGAAAGAGAGGGCGTTAACAATGAAAAATTACCGTTTTTAAACTATAGCTCCTATCGACTCCTAATTCGGTAGGAATCTTCTGTAAGAGATGTAGAAATAACCTATGAACGAATTTTACGATATCTCACCCCTACAGAGGGTTGCGGGGGTGGGTGTTGACAATAAAAATTTAAAATTTCTGAGCTGTAGCTCTTATAAGCTCCAAATTTGGTAAGAACCTTCTGTTAGTGATGTAAAAATGATTTATGAACGAATTTTACGATATTTCACCCCACAGGGGGTTTCGGGGTCGGTGTTAACAATAAAAATTTAAAATTTCTGAGTTGTAGCTCTTATAAGCTCCAAATTTCGTAAGAATCTTCTGTATGTGATGTGAAAATGATTTAAGAGCAGATTTTATGACAACCTACTCCCTATATATATTGCGGAGGTGGGTGTTGACAACGAAAATTTTAAATATCCAAGTTATAGCTCCTATAAATTCCAAATTTAATAAGAATCTGTAATATGCGAGGTAGAAATCATCTAAGAGCGGATTTTATGACAACCTCCTCTCAATATGGATTGCGGGGGTGGGTGTTAACAATAAGAAATCTTAATTTCAAAATATAGCATCTAAAACTCCAAATTTGGTACGAATATTTCATTTCTCGTGTAGAGATCGGCCGAAGCAGTGAAGCCAGAGCCGAAGCTTTAGCTAGTGACACATATATCTTTCTTCTTGCGTGATGTCAGAGCTAGCAGTTCAAATATTGTTTTATAACTAATTGTTCGTGATTATATTAAAGCAAACTACTTAAAGTAAATTTGCAAAAACTGTAAATCACATATGAAAATTAAAAATTAATTTTTTTAACCATTTTTAAAAATATTTATGTCAAATTATATCAAATTATCATTATTGATAATATTGATAATTATGAATAAATAATATTAATTATAAATAAATAAATTAATAATAATTATAAACGATAAATTAATAAAAAAATAATAATTATAACAATTATTATATCAATTTTTAATTATCCATGTATCAACAAGCACTTTTTCGTGGTTAAAATAATTTTTAAATAATTACAAATTTTTATTTTTTTCAAACAGTGATGATTCAGAGATAATAATTCAATTCAATTTAAAAAATTCCGCCATTCTTTCATCAGTGTTTCTTTATGACGTTATCACGTTAAACTATGGACCGTAAACCGACTTTACAGACAACCAATTTTTTTTTATTACAAAAAATTTTGTAAGCATTATAAATCTTAGTCTTTTAGATTTTTTAAATATAAAAAAGATAATAAATAAACCAATCATTATTGATTTAAAAAAAAAATAATTAGTTGATTTTACCAATTGTCAATCGGTAGTTCCTATTGATGTTTTTTTCTTTGATAGCCTCTAACAGAAAAAATTTTAATTTTAAATGTGCTTGAATGTTTTACATTTCAAAATTTATATTTTTTTAAATTTATTTTTTGCCAGATACTACAATTGTTATTATAAAAAATTTGAGGGAACGAGTAAATGTACTGGAACGTTAATATGGAAAGATGGGTTCTTCACTGAGAGTCAAAAACACACCTGTGAAGTTAATCCTATGCTGGGGTTAACTCATAGGTTTAAACGGGCATTAAAAGAAAAGTGCTATTCAAAATGTATCAAAAAAGATATGTACGAAGAAGTTAGTAAAAGGTTAGAATTTATTTAATATGAAAGATTTTTATTAATTTTACAAACGGGTATTTCTGCACAGAAAAAAAGGCCCTTTGGCAGCCGAAATGAAAGTAGATTTCATAATTTAAAAAAAAAAAAAATTACTAGGATTGTATAGAGAAAAAAAAACAGTGCAACAGCTAATTTCATAATTGGCATAGCAGAATAGGTTATAATTTTGAAACTATACATATGGTATGGTACTCAAATTGAAGCTTATTAAAGATATATGAATGTTTAAGTTATTAAAAATTTCGAAATCCGAGCACTTCTAAATTAATTAACCAATTAAGCTCATCTTCGATACTATAAATAAGCTTTCGACCCATATGTATTTTATGAATCAGTTTGATGAACTGAGTTGAAATGTATTAAAATTTCTTGAATGTTCTGTCATGAGAACCAATCAAATAGTTAGATTTCTATGAAATCTACTAATAATTTCTTGAACCAGGAAAATTATAAGGAAGACCAAAGTTTTTTTTGGAGCAAAAAGACTTTTTCTTGGTGCAAGAAAATTTAACTTCATTCACGAAATTTTCAGTTCTCCTTAAGATTTTCTTGGTTTAAGAAATTTTATCTTTGACTCAAGATTTTTTTTTTCTTCAATCAAACTTTTAATCTTCATAGAGTTTCTTCATGTCCATGGTCATCTAGACGATTATAATAGTTTAAACACAGAAAGAAAAAATCTTGACTCAAGGGTAAATTTTCTTTAATTAAAGAAATCTTAAGGAAGACTGAAAATTTGGTGAATAAAGTTAAAATTTCTTGAACTAAGTTAAATTTTCGTGGGTAAAGAAAATTTCTGCTTGTTTCGAAATAATTTCAGTCTTTCTTAAAATTTTTTTAGTTCAAGAAATTCTTTTTTTCTTTGTAGCTCATTTTATTCTAAATCAGACAGTATAAAATTTTTTGTTTTATTCTTGTAATTTTCAAATATAAAATGGCCCAAATTTCACATTTTTCGTTATTAAAATTTTCGTTCTCTAATGCAATTCAGAATAAACTGTTCATATTCTAGTCATATATTTCGACGGTCTAATTAGCAATTTGTCTAACTCCTTATTATTTAGAGGGTAATTTTTAAACATTTTGATGTAGCAATAATCCAATTATAAATTATTTGAATAATTCTAACCTAAATATTATATCTCTATTAGATATTAATGATATTAAATGGTTTTTTAAAGTAATAATAAATTTTGAAATAATTGTTTTTTTTCGTACAAATAAAAAATTCTGTAAAATGAAGTTGACAATTTGCTAATTAAAACTTCGATTTCTGTATTTTAATGTAATTAATACGTTTGCTTTGATCAGGAAGCCACCCTGAAGCTGCAATTCAAATC